TTATTGATTGATTATAACTACTTTTTTGCTATCTTTATTGTTGTTCTGTATGAGACTTTGTAGTTGTTACTTATTCTAAAAAATTTCTAAGTTCTAATTTTTTCAGTCAAGATTTAACATTAGAAAACCTGTAAAATTATATTAAAGTTCCACAAACTTTAATTTACTTAATGTTTGGTTCTTCCTATGGGTTATTTTTAAAAAGTTAATAAAATAAAACTTTAATATTATCTTTTAAATCACTATTGATCCATTATTTTAAAGGAAAACTAGATTTTAACCCCATGCGTCCGCACGAGAATGTTTTATTTTTTATTTCTAATATAAGTTGCATTTATCTTTTTTGTTTAGAGATAATTTGTTTTTGTTATTTATTTTTTTTAAATCAAAAAATTGTTATCATATTTTAATTTTAAATAGTAAAATGTGTATATTAGTAGAATAAGAGTATGCGTTAGTTAAGTATACATTGATCTAATGTTAATTATAAACTTTGTTATTATGTGAATTTAGATTTACACATAAAAAATCTATATATCTATGAATTTGCTAATCTATCCGTTTAGTTGTCTTAAATCATTTTTAATATCTTACATGTTTTGACAAACTAACACGTATAAGACTATAATTATAATTGTATAATCTTATAAATATTTAATAATATGGAATATTTGGACCAATTGATTATGAAAAAATATAATAAAATATTTATTTATTATTTGTGCTATTAAAAATATATAAATATATATATATATAAGCTGGCTAACCTGTTAGTTTAATTGTCTCAAATCATCTTAATATCTTATATGTTTTAATAAATTAACTCATGGACCTTAAATATATATATATATATATAACTCTAATCAGCTCGATCATATTATTGTATAATATAAATATTTATTAATCTCAAATATTTGATATTTTAGACCAATTGATTATGATAAAATACGATAAAATATTTATTTACTATGCATTTTTATAAAAATATTATTTAAATTTAAAATTTTAAAGTATTAAAATTATTATTAAAATTTTCGTAATAAAATTTAATTATAATTTTTTTTGAATTTTTTAAATTTAAATTAAATTGAATGCAAATTTTTGTAACTAAATTTAATTAAATTTCTAATAATTTAAAATTTAAATTAAAGATGACTTATATTTTAGGAAATCTAAAAATATATAAATTAATAACTAATTTTTGGAAATTAAATATAAAATAAAATAAAATTTTGTAAAAAAAAACTTTAGGAGTGTTTGGATGCAAGCACTAAATGTGCTTCTGTTTTTATAGAATATTTTCTATAATATTTTATTGAAGTACATTAATAACATAAAGCTAAAGTCTCTAACAATCACTTCTCTCTATCAGATCGAAAAACTTCCAGGTGAGAATAATTATAGGAATAGCATATCAACAAAATTTTATAAATCAAGTTCAAACTAATCTTATAAATTTTTATCTAATATTATTATCATACATTGAACCATTCAAAATCTCAACTCAACTATCGTCATCTGTCTCCTTCTTATATTCGAGTAAAAAACTAATCTTAACGATTTTTCATTTGTAATCTCATACCTAAATCGTTCTTGTTATTTTTACTATTTTTCTGTCTCTTTTGGTCTAACTTTGAAGACTTGTGATTAAGTATGTGACTTTATAAACTTTTATTTTACTTTAAAATTTAAAAGTTCTAATTTATCCAATCAAGATTTAACATTTGAAAAACCCATACAATTCTTTTAAAATGTCACAAATTCTAACTTAGATTTTTTGTTCCTAGGATCGTTTAGTTTCCAAAACCAATAAATAAACCTTATATTTTTCTTTTGAATTGCTATAAGTTATTTGAAAGTTAAATTCTCTACCACTTTTTCTCAGTTTTGGTGCTTCAATATTTTCTTAACGTACACTAATAGCCTAAAGTTAAAGTCCCTAACAATCAATTCTCTCTGTTAGATAAAAAATTACCGGCTCGTTATAATCGTGAGAATGACATATCAACTTAAATTTCCAAACTAACTCAAACTATTTTCATAAACTTTTATATGTATTATAATTATACATTAAAACCGTTTAAAACTTCATCTCAACTCGGATTTGAACCTAATCTTATCGGGTTTTCATATGAAATCTTATTTGTTAATCATCTGATTTTTGCTATCTTTACTATTTTTTGTCTCATTCAGTCAGACTTTATTTTATTTTAACTATTCAAATTTATACACTCTTACTCTATTTCAAAATATATAAAGTTCTAATTTATCTAATCAATGTGTAATATTTTTAAAACACGTAGAATTCTTCTAAAATTTTACAATGTCTAACTTAGTCTTCTTGTTTATGCGATGGTTTAGTTTTAAAAATCAACAAAAAAAATCTTACTTTTTCTTTTGAACCCATTATTTGAAAGCCAAATTCTCTATAACATTTTATTAATTGTAAATTGTGATGCTACAATATTTTTTTGAAGTACATTAATAACCTAAAGTTAAAGTCTCTAAAAATCACATCTCTCTACGAGATCAAAGAACTTCCAACTGAGAATAATTTTGGAAATGACACATCAACAATGTTTTTTAAATCAAGATCAAACTAATTGCATTGATTTTTATTTGTAATGTTATTATACATTAGAATCATTCAAAATCTTAACTCAACTATCGCCATTCATCTCCCTCTTATAAGTTCAAACTTAATTTTATTGGTTTTTTATTTGTAATCTCATATCTAAGATGTTATTTCTCCTTATCCTACTATTTTCTCATCTCATTCAGACTAAATTTGAGATTCTTATTTTATTTTCACTATAGGACTTTATAAACTTTTTTTTTTTTTGAAGTTCTAATTTATCCAATCAAAGTTTAAAAACCGTAAAAATTTTCTACAAATTCACAAAGTCTAACTTAGTCTTTGTGTTCATTAGATATCATGAAATATACAACTTATTTTTTATTTCTCATGTGCATTCCATTTTACTCAAGGGACCAAACTTACCAGTTGTTGTTTTGGACAAAGTATTAGAAGGCTTTTGAATAAGTTCTCATCTAAACTTATGGTAATCGATTGTTTCATTACCATCTACATCAGTCTGAAATATACATAAAAATCTTCTCTTTTAAGTTATTTTTATTCTTACAGCGAAGCTATGAGATGGCAATACTTACGGCTTCCATTTTAGATATTGTTTTAGTTGATTGTGGTGCATTTGTTGGTGTATATTCGTTAACCATACATCTAAGACCTTCAATTCAAATGTTTCTTCCTAGAGGCTCTCTGCATTAACATAAAAAAACAAACTAAAATTATAAAAACAAAATGATTAGGCAAAAGACAGAAGTCTACGTTTACCAATGCTTACTTGTTAAAGAGAAGTTTAAGGTTACTTTAAGCTAATTCAGAATTGCTTAATCCGAAAATACTTAATGTTTTCAGGAAAGAATGATCATACCAAACTCCACAGCCTACTATCAACAGTAGGAAGTTCTGCTTGAAGCTTTAAAACTTCATGTACCATATAAACCATATTAATTTTTATAGTTTGTCCTTATTCCATAAGCTTCAAAAAAAAATTTTAATAGTCAATTACACCTTTATTCCAAAGTAAATGCCAATAACATGCATAACCATATTACAATAGTATCCAAGACCAAAAATAAGAAAAACAAAGTTGAATAGAAATTTCAAAACAAAATTATAAATAAATAAAAATACCGCGTTTACAGAAAAAAAAATATAAACCGTTAGAAGCTGAGAGATATAACTCCATAGACGTTTTGGATGTGATACCTTGATGGAATCTTTCTGCCAATGTAACATACATATAAAATAAAAACAAAACAAAACCTATTGAGATCAAAGATCTTCATAAATCATAAACTAAAACCAATATAATAAATCTGATATAAATTATAATAACATTATGTAAATTGAGAGCTAGCAAAATTTCAAGGACATTATGAATGAATTGAAAGCTTTATTTATAGGAAAACATTGAGTTGCAAAATGATTAGGTTAAACCGAAAAAAATTTAAATAAATCGTTCATAAGCTTGCTCCACTGACTATTTATTGTTTTAAATAAAGTCCTAAAGCATTATCATAATTATTGTTGTAAGAATCAGTTACTTACGTTTTTGTTGTAAAGGTTCCTCATTAACAGGAATTTGAATTAGGACATAAGTCTTGAAAAAAACATGTCTGGAAAAAAGAATCATTGGAAGCAAAAGAAAAAAAAAAGTCAGTAGAAATGTTAGTTTCATGTTTGTTGAACTTTTAAAACTATTATTAGTACCTGAAACCAAGAACAATTAACAGTATTCTTCAATTCGTACAAATTTCGGTTGGTTCTTAATGTATTAATGAAGATCAGTGTCCATGAACTCAGTGGCAATATAGATATCAACGAACTGTTTTTGCAGTGGTGTACATAGTAAAAAAACTAACGTCTCATATAATTTTTTTTTTTGAAACGGAACGTCTCATATAAGTTTACTCTATTGAAATAACAAATTTAAAAAAAAAACATAAATGACGTGTTCATTAAGAATCAATTTGTTCATCCAGTTTAACATTATAGTTCGCCAAATCAAATGAAGATACCAATGTTATAGTTTAACATTTGGCATCCGAAGAAATATTTTGTGTCTTCTTTAGTCTGCAAATGGTGATGGAAGGCGATTTTTTTGGCTTAGGCCTCTCTAACCCGTCTAGAGGGTTTGGAGTTCTTTTCCGGAAGGAATCTTTCCTTGTCGGTCGGTTTTTAAAAAAAGGAATTTTTCCTTTTTCCCACCCAAACCTGCCTTTCCCTCTTCCATTACGGGGTTCCTTTCCTTTTTGGAATGATTCGTGAGCTTGATATCCTAGGGTTTCAGGGCCGTCAGCAGCCGTGTATTCTCTCGCAGTTCAGGATCTCAAGCGGCTATCTACACTTCCAATCTCGGATTTCCCTGTTTCTACTGCTCATGGATAGCTCTCTGAATTTAGCAATGCAATCGATGAATTTGGAGGAAGATCTTCCGATTGATATCCTGGCGGATGGTGCTTTCTGTGCGGTTGAAAGAAGTGCCCGAAGTTTGATTGGTCGATTGCTGAATCCTGATGTTCAAAACATGGCAAGAATGCTGCGCTCTATGCCGAGAATTTGGAGAATTTATGAGCGTGTTAAAGGTGTGGCTCTCACTGATGATACATTCCAGTTCATATTTGATTGGGAACAGGATATGAATACGGTCCTTAAGGCGGGTTTTTGGACTTTTGATGAGTGGGGTTTGGTGATGGAGAGATGGGTTGAGAACCCTCCTGCTGACTTTCTAAAGAAAGCCCCGGTTTGGATCAAACTACACAAGATTCCTGTGAACTACTTCACTTTGGCGACTATTGATGCTGTTGTGAACCGTATTGGTCACGTCAAGGAAATTGCTTATGATCCTGCAAAACCTCTTTTGCAAGCTGGTGTCAGAGTTTGTGTAGCTATTGATCTGGATGAACCAGTGAGGGATGCTAAATCTCTGAATCTACCTGACGGTAAGGTGGCAATTGTGGAGATTGAATATGAGAGAAAATTTAAAAAGTGTTTCAATTGTTCTCGCCTAACCCATGAGAAGCAGAGATGTCCACTTCTTCAGCGTAACAAAACTCGAAGTGTGGAAGCTTCGGGTAAACAGAACATGCGGCAACAGCACAATGCTACTGCTCGTCAGCATCACCCAAACCTCTCTGAACAGATTATGCCGATGCTGGCTCCGACAGTTCCTCCTGGCTTCAGCCCTCACTCAAACCTCGTGGCTCCTGAAGTGTTTGAGCAAATGCGTATATACATGTCCTCGGGGGATCCATCAGAACGCTCCCTTCGGGAACTAAAGATGAAGAAGACGCTAGACGAATTATCCAAAGATCCAGTGGTGCAACGATCTTATTTGCGGCTAGAGGCCCCTCCCGTCTTCACAGCATCTCCGGTGATCAAAGAGAATGAGCAGATGGCTTTAGCGGAAACCTCTTCTGGTCGTAACCAGAGAGACGATGATTCTCTCCTACCTTCTGATCGTAACCAGAGGACCTCCTCAATGTACGGAACGAGAAAATCGGCTTCAAGATAGTAGTGCCGGTAATGGGAATCAGGATCCTTCTCCCTCGGGTCCAAAGGATGATGGTGCGAAGAATGAGGTTCATCCAATTGCAAAGGAAGTAGATCTACCTTTGGCAGATGCTACGATGGGTCATATGGGTGTTCCGGATCCCTTACCACAGACGATGGAACAGTTCCAAGAGGGGTCAGGTTTCTTTGCTCCACCGCTACAAATGAGTGAGTTTAGGATCGGGTGTGTTCAACCAAGCTCCTCCGGTACTAGTAACAGAAGCAAAAAGTCTAACTCTGGACGCTGGTCCAGACAGCAGAGAGCGAAACAGGGTGTTTCTCTAACCAAGGATCAGGACCAAGACACCGAGCATCCTTCTAAGAGGAAAGCAGTCGACAGCTCTGAAGTTACGTCTAAACTATCCAAACAATCTCCGGGTTTGATGGTTCACCAGACACCATCCAATCCGTCCATATGACGACACTCGCTTGGAACTGTCGGGGGTTGAGGAACGACCCGACGGTTCGACGCCTAAAGGAAATGTGTCGTGAACATTTCCCGGACTTTGTGTTTCTCCTAGAGACTAAAATCTCTAGTGATCACGTGTTGTATGTTCAAAGAGTGTTAGGTTTTGACCACAGCTTCCTTGCGAACTCTGTGGGTCTAAGTGGTGGTTTAGCATTGTTTTGGAGGCAGGCACATAAGGTGGATGTGCTATTTTCGGATAACAGAATCATCGATACTAAGGTGGAAGTGGGAAGCCGGACCTTCTTCATGACATTTGTGTATGGAGACCCAGTTAGCCATCTGCGTGGCAATGTGTGGCAAAAATTGACGAATATTGGGATTAGTAGAGATGATGCGTGGTGTGTTGTAGGAGATTTTAATGAAATTATGAACAACACAGAAAAGCTTGGAGGCCCACCTAGAGCGGAGTACTCGTTTTATCCATTCAGACGTATGGTTCGTGAGTGTCGCATCAAGGAAATTCCCAGCTCTGGTAATAAACTCTCTTGGGGAGGTAACCGCGAAGTGATGAATGCAAATGGTGAAAAGGCTTTGGTCTGGATTCAGTGCCAATTAGACAGGGCGTTTGGGAATTCTGAATGGTTCAGGTTATTTCCAAGAACACACTCTGAGTATTTGAAAAGAATCTGGTCTGACCATCGTCCACTTTTAGTTAAGGTCGCACCAGCTGATTCAGTAAGGAGAGGCAGGTTCATATTCGACAAGCGCTGGTGTGATAGTCCAGAAGCAGTGGAAGTAGTTCGGAAAAGCTGGTTGATTCCGGACTGTATTGGCACGAGACGAGTTGCTGATCGTATCTCGACATGTCGTAAAACTCTAGCGACTTGGAAGAGGAGTAGTAATTTTAACTCTCAGAAAATGATCCAGAGGCTGACTGCTGAGATTGACGGTGAATCTGCAGAGCTTCATCCCGATTTCCAAAAGATAGCTACCTTGAAAGTGGAGTTGATGCAGGCTATTAAAGCAGAGGAGAGCTATTGGAAGCAAAAAAGTAAGGAACGATGGCTGATTGCAGGGGATAAAAACACCAAGTTTTTTCACAGCAGTGTTAAGTCTCGGCGGATGAAAAACAACATTCCCTCACTGATAGATGACAATGGTGTTGAAAGGTTTTCGGAGAAAGAGAAGGGAGATGTGGCAGTTGAGTACTTTTCCAAATTGTTTAAATCCTCTGGCTCGACGGATCACGATGAACTACTTGAGGGTTTTCCAACAAGAGTCTCTCAGCAGATGAATAGAGATCTCACTAAAGTTGTGACGGATGTGGAGATTAACAGAGCTGTGCGCAGTATCAAGAGTGATAGCTCTCCTGGATCAGATGGTATGACAGGCAAATTTTTTCAACATTTCTGGGACATTACCGGCGCACACGTTATTGCAGAGGTGAAGGAGTTCTTCGCAACAGGTCAGCTACCTCAAGGGTGGAATTTTACTCAAATCTCTCTTCTGCCGAAGAAACCTAATGCAAATGTGATGACTGACCTTCGGCCTATTAGTCTGTGCTCGGTTACGTATACGATTATTTCAAAAATCTTATGTAATCGCCTCAAGAGGTTTCTGCCAAGTTTGGTCTCTCCCACACAAGGTGCGTTTGTAGCAGGCAGATTGATATCAGATAACTTGTTGATTGCTCACGAAATGGTCCATGGTTTAAGAACTAATCCAAACTGTAAACGGGATTTTCTAGCCATTAAAACCGATATGTCAAAGGCCTATGACCGTGTGGAATGGGATTTCTTGGAGGTATTACTGCTGCGAATGGGTTTTGCTGCAAAATGGATCTCCTGGATAATGAGTTGTATTAAGTCGGTCTCGTATACGGTTTTGCTGAATGGTGAGGAACATGGGCACATCCAACCCGAAAGAGGCATCCGCCAGGGTGATCCATTATCACCCTTTCTTTTTATTTTGTGTGCTGAAGCCTTAGTCCACATTATGAGCAAAGCCGAATTAGAAGGAAGACTTAGTGGTATGAAACTCTCGTCAAAATGTCCTTCGATTCAACACCTGTTGTTCGCAGACGACAGTTTGTTTCTTTGCCGAGCTTCGCTCAGAGAATGTTCTGAGTTTTTGAGGTGCCTCAAGTTGTACTGTGATTCATCTGGTCAAGCGATTAACTTCCAGAAATCCTCGATCACTTTTGGTCAAGACATTGATCCGATCTCCCGCAGATTGCTCTCAAATCTCCTGAACATTGATAAAGAGGGAGGTACGGGGACTTATCTGGGCTTGCCGGAGTGTTTTAGTGGTTCTAAACAACAACTTCTAGCTTTCATTGATGAAAAGTTACATAAAAGGCTGAGTGGCTGGTATGCTAAAATACTCTCGCTGGGTGGTAAGGAGATTCTACTCAAATCGGTGGCGATGGCTCTTCCGGTGTATGCGATGTCGTGCTTCAGGTTGACAAAGCATCATTGTAAGAAGATCACAAGTGCGATGTCAGCTTTTTGGTGGAATGCATGTGAGAAAAAACGTAAAATTCATTGGATTGCTTGGAAATCAATGTGCAAATCAAAGCAGAGTGGTGGGTTTGGATTTCGAGATATGGAAATTTTTAATCAATCTCTCCTGGCAAAACAGGCTTGGCGTATTTTAAATGATCCTGAAAGCTTGATTGCTAGACTGTATAAAGGGAGGTATTTTTCATCTCGAGGTTTTCTGGAATGTGGGCAAGGTTTCAGACCATCGTATGCCTGGCGTAGTATCCTCCATGGGCAGGAACTTCTTCAGAGAGGTTTACTAAAATCAATTGGTAATGGTCGGACAACTAAGGTGTGGATGGAGAGTTGGATTATGGATGATCAGCCTCGAAGACCAGTTAACCGTCAGTTTTTTTATGACCTGGAATTGAAAGTGGATTCTTTGATTTCATCAGAGGGTCGATGGCGTGAAAATCGGGTGCGCGAGCTTTTCCCTCCGGTGGATGCAGAGCGGGTTTTGCAGTTGCCTATTGGCAATGTGGAGGACAGATTTATATGGGCATATTCTAAGAATGGAGCCTATTCGGTGAAAAGTGGGTATTGGTTTGCTATTAACCATCCCTTAATACCGCTCCCACAACGATCCACCCAAGATCAGCGCAAGATCGATGTCAAGAACCGTATCTGGAAACTTCAAACTTCACCGAAGATCAGAATCTTCTGGTGGAGAGCAGTTTCTGGTGCTTTGTCGGTTGCAGACAGGTTGATTTCGCGAGGAATGAATATGAATCCGTCGTGCCCGCTGTGTAACCTAGAGGTCGAGACGATTAATCATTCATTGTTCCTCAGTGACTCGGCGCAACAAATCTTTGACAGAGCTCACCTTCCTCCTTCGTTCCCTGCTTTTTCTTCAGACCTTTATGATAATGTGACTTCTCTCCTGAATGTCATGGAGGATCCATCAGTGGCAAAGGATACGCGTCTGCTTATTCCATGGTTACTTTGGAGCATATGGAAGCATAGGAATTCGATTATTTTTGCTAACAATCGGGAGACGCCAGCTGTGATTGTTCAGAGAGCTACAGAAGAAGCTACCCTATGGTCTAAACTTAATGAGCCCTCGGCTCTGGAGGATCGTAACAAGAAGTTCTTCCATCTTGTCGATTCTAGATGGCAGCCTCCTTCCCTGGGAGTGGTGAAGTGCAACATTAACGCGAATTGGAGAAACAGTAGATATATGAGTGGTGGTGCTTGGATTGCTCGGGATCACCAGGGTTCTACTTTGTTTCATGCTAGAGAGGCTTTTACTCCATCGCCAAACAGAGTGGTAGCAGAGTTGAGGTGTATAATCTGGGCTATTCAGAGTCTTCTTGACCTTCATGCAAACGAGATAATGATAGTTTCAGATAATATTTCTGCGGTGGAGGCAATTTCGAAACCTCTCCTATGGCCTAAATATCGAGCATTGAGTAGTTATATTGCTTACCTGTGCAATGGGTTCAGTTTCTGTTCGATCGAACAGGAGACTGTGGGAGCTAACAGAGCTGCTCGTGAGATCGCAAAAAGTGTTACTCGAGATGGCCGGTTTCAGTCGTACCTTGCAAGGGGTGGTCCAGCTTGGCTGCATAATCTGTTGCATTAGTTGATTGATTTAAGCATCTTTAAACCCTTCCCTTAGGTGTTTGATGCTTCGTGTTAGCCTTTGGCTGTTGTTATGGTTTTATTGCTACTCTGTTCGTTATTAATAAAAGTATCAGACGTTGAAAAAAAAAAAAAAAAAAAACATTTGGCATCCATGTGATGATTAAAGGCGTTAGCGATTTTCTTCATCACCACCAGCTCCTTCATCTCCAAATCCAACATAGAACTTCAAGTATTCCACCAGGAAAAAAAAGAGCAAGATGCAAAATCAAAACTTATGAAATTATAAACTAAGATGAATACATTTAAACAAAAAAAAATAGAAAAATCAAAATCTTATATTTCTTGCCTCTACATTCCCTGCGTTTCTTGCCTCTACATTCCCTAAATTTAAATGTGGCCCTAATCATCAGTTCTGTTTCCAAAGAAAATAGATAGTAATTAATGTAAAAAAGTCATGAAGATAAATGGTCAAAAGAAATAAACATTATTTTTTCAAAAATCACAACTAAGGCTAAGTAAAAATTAGAGAAACAATAGAATGTACACTTCTTATATAAGCTTAGATTTAACAGAGGTTCCTAAAGACGCTTTGTTGATAATAAAGAAATATAAGTGAAAAAATAAATATGAAATCTTAAAAAAAAAGGTTATGGTTTACCAAATCTTAGTACAAAGATTATTTTTTAGATGGAAACACGAAGATTAAAATCACTTGCTAATCCTAACTGGTACAGCACTTGTTAAATTGATAGAGAACCTTTTCCTTGACGATAAATTTTTAAAACTAACACTGATTATGTAAAATAGTATGATGAGTCCTATTGTTATCTTCTTCTTCCTTTACCTTCTTCTTCCCAAATGTCCTTGCCATGAGAAAACCATATGA